TTTCGTTGCTCCGAGCGGTGAGCTAACGAAAGCCAAGGTGAGCTCACCCTCTGAGGCATCATCCCTTCTTAATCCCCTGACTAGGATGTAAACATGCGAGTGTTTATGCTCCCACATGAGCGAGTATTCCAGACACACCTCTTTGTTTAGGCCAACGCTGTCAGCGGCTGGAAGGCATCCAGTTCTTCAGAGAGATTGCTGCTTTTCTGACCGTCTAGACACAGAGCTGCGGTTCTACACCTGGTGTTTCTGACCCATCTGTGTGAAGCATGGGTCCTGATGCCGGTACCGGCGAGCTAGTGAGGAGGCAGACAGGATTATGTAGCAGAGTTAAAGGCCAACCAGGTTTGTGCTTCCTGTTCGTTACGGACTTATCCCGCCGAACTTCAGCCCTGCGTTCACACAACCATGAGCACAAAGACAAACACACGCGCGCCTTCTGAGAGCCTTCTTCTATCCTCGGGGCCTGCTCTAAATAGAGGAGGGATTGTGGGGGAAGGAAGCGGGGCTGCTGATGCCGGCGGGGGCGGGGCTAGACACACACGAAAGATGCAAAAAGAGAGCGAGCTTGTTTGTGCAAACCTCAGACTGAATTACCCTAGACGAGTCGGTTCCCTCTGTGGACAGACCCAACCAGAGATGTGACAGGGTGTTGCAGATCTGCTGGTCCAAGGCAGCTGTAACAAGCATGAGGTGACCTCTGACCTTGTGATTGTTATGCTTTTCATCTCCACCAGGGGTAAAAACGTGATTCTAAGCCATCCTGGTTGCTTTTTACACCCAGGAGCAGTAAGTCCAATCTAACAGTCATCCTTCTACTTTTAAATAATCCTGATTATGAGCAGATTTTTACTGTCTAGCCTCGGATTTCCTTGTTTAAATCTCTAAACTTGCGTGTTTGATCCACAGCTGCAGCAGCACTCGTCAGCGGGCAGGCGGAGGAAACAACTCCTGTTTCTGACGCCGTTTTTCCACTGAGCTGTGACCAAAAATGACCAAAGATGGTGGCTCGTGTCCATGCATCACTCCTCCTCCCTCTGCCGAAGAGGACAATGTCACATTTAAGATGCCTCTGCTTGCCGGAACAGAGCCTCAGATTGTCCATGCAGCCCACTCTTCATCGCGTCAGCGACCATCAGCCAGTCGGACTCGTGGTGGCCTTTAAACTGGATGTTTGCGTGATGACGCCCTTTTAGAGATTGTTTTCTGATCTAATGTTCAGCTCTCCAACGTGATTCTAAAAGAGGTGAAGAGAACAAAAGTTTAAAACTTTATAGAAACGCTTTTACATCCGAGAGGGTCTCTGAAAAGACGACTACTGACCAGAAGACATGCTAGAAACCAACTCTGTCCCAGATAACAAGTAGAAGTTCTGCTTCAGACACTGAAACCAGTGAGTAGACCCTCCTAAGAATAAAGCCTGATTGGCTGATTTACCATCACAGTCACGTTTTTGCCGCTACTAATAATAATTACACTTGTAAACGAGGCAAAGACACAGAGACTAAGGAGGAGGAAAGCTGCCACTGACTTCCTAAAGTAAAGTCCCACAGCTGGATCTTTCAATGGGCCTCAGCCAGATGTTGGAGCAACAAGCTAAAGCTTGGTTTATGCTTGACGCATTCACTTTCCGCGCGGTGATGCGGCTCGCGGATGGAACGCGCTTCACAACTCGCAGCGTTTATGGTTCATGCGGCTCATCTCTGCGGTGAGCCAATATTCTCCCAAACTGTAGGGGGCAGCATGGAGCTCTACGGCATGCATCCAACACTACACCATAGTAGAAGTAGAAATTACTGTTTACAACATGGCATTCCAGCATTTTTAACAGCGTCCTCGTCTTTTCCGACAGTGCGAGCCATTTCTCTCCAAGAATTATTAACAACATGTTGATCACGGTGATCTCTGAGAGCTGAATCATACAAATGTCTGTATTTACCAACCTCTGCCATACTAGTTCTTGCCGGTCCGCCATGTTTTTCCGCGTCCGACCGTCCGCGTGGTTAGAAATTTTCCGAGGTGCGCGTTGCGGAAATTCTGGGCCGTGCGGAGGCGCGGTGGAGGGGCGTGGTTGTTAAAATGACGCAAAATGACGCAACTTTTCCGCGCGGAGCCGTGCGAACCTCGCGGACACGTCAAGCATAAACCAACCTTTACAGCTGCATGAGTCAATGCTAACAGAAAAGATCATGTCTGAAAGCCATTTAAAGGCGTGGAGCACTCATTTAATCGGTGCATTTGCAGTGGTTTCTCGTCGGAGTGAATGCCTTATACGTTGTACTCTGGGGAAACAAAACCCAGGCGCACTATTTCCAGGAACCAGAAGTGAGCCACATCACAGCCGGGCTTGAGACGGCATTATTAGGAGGTTTCCTGATATGTGGACATCTCTCTTCTGATTGGCTAACAGCAACACGACTCTACCACCGACTCTGTTTTCTCTCCAGCGTTGGTGTTTTATCTCCACAAATAACACGAGCCTGGAGGAGTTCTGCCGTGTGGTGGAGCTGCTAATGCTAGCACTTAGCTTCTACTAGCCGAGAAGTTATCTGCTGTTTCCTGGAAGCTAAACCAACAACAGCCTTCCCCGTCACGAGTCCAGATGGATGAGTCCATGAATGTTGAGCCCTTTTCGGATTGGCATTCTGGAATATGTGTGGACAATTCAGTCCGGTTTTAAACCAGAACTGTTTTCAGACACGCCACTTTTGTACCTGAACTTGTCATTTCGGCTGCCTTCACACAGCAGGGAAAAGTTCCAGAAGTCTGGGGGGGAGGGGGTGGGAAGGCTGTACCCGGATATTGCGTAAGCATAGTGCGGCGGGCGTACATGCGTCATTTACCCTAACAAAGCTATTCAGTCAAACATGGCCGACGAAGAGATAGAATTCCTCTCACTGATCGGACTTATGTTAAGCATTTGGGTTGTCACGGTAACCGGTGTAGCGGTAAACCCCGGTAAAAAAGTTGACAATAATAATAACCGTCTTGTTTTTTAAAACATATATTATCTCGGTGGATTACCGTGGCTGCGGTGTAGGCGCGGTGACCCTTACCAGCCACCGTATCATCTGCTGAAGTTGCCGGCGGCACATGCGCACTTTGTTGTTTACAACCAAAACTTTCTTGAAGCTAAAGCTGAAATAATGGCCAAAGGAGGAGACGGCAGCGCTCAGGAGGACATTTATTATCCCTCAAAGAAGACAAAGTGGGAAGTACGGGCATCTTTTGGATATTTGAAGAATGCCGAGGGACAGCTGATAGAAGACGGCTATCCAGTTTGCAGCACGAGCAGAAAAAGTGTCTGTGAAAGGCAGCAACGCTTCAAATCTCATGACACATCTGCGTGACCATCACCCACAACTCTACAGTCAACGCAAGGCAAGCTAACGTTAGCGTGTTAGCTAAAATGCGTGATCCGAGGATTTGGGTTGAGGGAGAATGCAACGAGTCGCTATATAAAGCAGCCGCAGCGCCGCTACCTGCATATAAACCGTGTCGCGGACACCGCCATGTTGAAATGACGCTATGCATTACGGGGCTCCCAGGGGCAGATAAGAGTTGGTCTCTCTCCGAGAATAATTATGAATTTAACAACGATTACTGCCTGATGACATTTTCCCACATCTGCAAAGCTCACTGGAAGGACACAAACTGAGGACGATATTTTCCTGATATAGGGTTTATTACTCAAGTAAGAGTAAAAAAGTATCTGATTAGAAGGCTACTTGAGTACTGAGTATCATCTGGTCTAATATTTTTAAATGACAGACAGACAAAAAATAAGAAGTTATGGGCAAATATTGGTATTTTAAAGACTAAAGCGGAAAAATGTAAACAAATAAACAACATAATTACAAAATAACACATTTTAGGCTAAATTTAGACACAAACTGAGGACAATATTTCCTGATATACAGGGTTTATGTAGTTGTCTGAAAATGTAACACGTTTAAAAACATACCGCGATAATACCGAAAACCGTGATCATTTTGGTCACAATAACCGTGAGGTTACATTTTCACACGGTGACGACCCTATTAAGCATAATTCTGCACACACGAAGATGCATAAGAGACCTGGATGATGACACTCAATGGTTAATAAAGGAATCACGGAAGCGGTGTGAAGCGCTCTGTCGCACGTCTAGACGGTACCGTAGGAGGCGAGCTGTCATGGTTCGCCGCATGCTACAGGAGCGAGCTATCTAGGTGCGCACAGCGTCCCCCGGTCCCCTCCTCCTCCCCCTCCTCCCTGTCCGGAACTCGACCTCACCAGTCTGAAGCAGCCTCCCAGTCTGTGACAAGTCTGGCCCTGTTACTAGGGGCTTCGTCCGGTTTAATTACGGAAAAGTTTATCCGGATGTTTGTGTTCAGACACAAAGGTCTTACGTACAGAGTCCCGAACATTTCCGTTTTTCATGGCCTGTCTGAAGGGGGCTTTAGTGACAGTGTGACGTAGATCTGTCAGGCTTTTCTAATCCTAGTTTCACCTTCTGCTTTCTAGCAGATGCTACTGCAGGAGATAGGTGTAGGAGACTATTCTCATGTTCAGCCTGCGTTAAACACTCAAGAGTGACCCGCTAGAATCAGAAATAATCATTAAAAATGGATTTTCAGAGTTCCACACCTCTAAAAACTGTCTCAACGTTAAAACTACAGTCCTGAGATTAGGTCAACACCTCCGTCTCAGCTTCAACCGCTTCAGCTTAATCACAACGTGCATGTCTCCCAAACATCACCCGAGCCGAGGTCAGGAGTCTGCCTCCATATCACACACACACACACACACACACACACACACACACACACACACACACACACACACACACACACACACACACACACACACACACACACTGCTGAATAAACCACGGGAGGCTCGACTGAGCAGAGAGGAAGATTAAAGAGGTTCTGAATTAAAGATTGAGATCCCCCCCCCCAAACTTCTACAGGATGATGCAAAGAGAAGCAGAAGCAGAATAAAAGTGCTGCTCTCACTGTTTGAATCCCTCATGGTGTTTGTGCAGCAGCAGCAGCAGCGTGCTGGGAGCGTTCCTCTAAAAGCTCAGACCCGCTGTCCTCCAGGCTGTAGCTCCATCCCGACTGGGACAAAGGAAGAGTCAGACGGAACAGGATTAAAGTCCTCAAGCTGAAGGAGGATTTTTGTCATCCAGCAGGTCTGCTGTAGAACCGAGCAGAAACGATACCCGTCTCAAAGATCAGGGTACCCTGTCTGCTCGTTTGGTGGTTGCCAGTAAAATTCCCAGATGATGTGCATTAGTTCTTCCTACCACCTGAGCTCCAGTGGTTCTCTGGACCGATCCGGTCCTCAGTAAGACAGCATGACAAAGCCAAGGCTCTGCTGAAAGGATGGAAGGAGTCTTTATCTGTCTCTTCGTGCCTGGGGCTGCTGGCAGGTGTGACAGCGAGCAGCAGATTGTGTGACCGTCACCTGGATCACGGACATGTGATCAGGGAGGCTGGCACTAATCCTGGGGACTCCTCCGAGCCTAAAGCCGACATGTTACAACTCTGACGAAGACGTGTGTGGTTTATTATTGCACCAATAAAACACTCCTCACCCGAGTGCTCCAGCTTCCTTGTTTGTTTTTTTCACGTTACAAACACCTTTCCCAAAAACACTGTTAGTTAGGGTGGGTTCTCTTTTACTGTTGGAAGGAAAGTTTAGCTAAAAATGTGGTTCTGAAACAACTATTGGTGTTAAGGTTCTTCCTGCTGATGGAGGCTAGGGTTCTTCCTGCTGGGGGGGGGGGGGGGGGTCTACGATAAAGCCACTGAGCTGATTGTTGCAGCGTTATTAAAAATGAAAGATGTGAATTTCCAGCTGGAATCACACTGAATGACAAGCATTTAATAAGACGGGAGCTTGTGTGTCTGATGTTTTTATGCTGTTTATGACATGCTTTGCTTTGATGGTGTCCAAACCGTACTGAGCGAAGTCAGATGACTGCTGATTGGCTGGGGGTGGAGTCACTTGGTGCCTAAAGCCGGGCGTACACTGTGCGACTTTTTCACTCGCAGCGTTCAGCTTCAGCTCAAACTGTACGACTTCCTCGCAGGGCAGATCTCACGAGTCGTGTGCTCACACTGCACGACCCAGTTCTCGGATGCGACCTGACTGCTCACACTGTACGTCTGGTAGCAACACGTCGGCCCTAAAAATATGCTAAAAACAGCAGTTTTTACACAACACGTCAGACTTTTTTGTCTTGTTTTGCCTGTTGTCCTTCGGGAGTGCTGCAGGAGGACACACAGGGATTTATGGGGGTTGGATGAGGAAAACGAAATAAAGAAAGTAAATCTGTGTTTTGTGATCAGTTTAATTTGACATGAACACGACAAACACGCTTTCTTGACAATCTTTGTGAGTAAAAAAACGTGTAGAAACAAAAACGACCAACGTGTGTTATTAGGAAAATAGCGAGCGAGCGGCGTTGATGCATGACTGCGCATGCGCCGTGAGCGGTTCTGATACTTTTTGGGTCGCAGCACCGCTTCAACAGTGTGATACCCTCACGAGGGACGAGCAAAATATCAAACACGCCAGAAGTCCGTGCGAGCTCACGGCTGCTGATCGGCAGCTGGTCACGTGGTGTTAATCGCCTCTCGTAACCCCCTGTACACGACGCTCGACGCTAAACTCGCCCCGATGTCGTGGATTCTCGCACGAGTGGAAAATCGGCTCAAAAAAGTGAAAAAGTCGCACAGTACACGCCCGGCTTAAGAGTGTTCTGCTGACAGAGCAGAACGTTCCGTCCACCCAGCAGAGACTTTTCACAGAAAACTACCCAAACCGAGTCGGCACTGTAGGTGCTAGTGGAGAAGAAGCAGGTATCTTAACTCCCACTAAAGTTGTCTCACCATTTAGAAAAGATAAGAGGTGGAAAACTGAATTTTGCATCTCCAACTGGTCACCACCAGCACCAACCCAACGAGATACCAGATTAAGGTTTAAGCCCCACAGTGCTCTTAATAACATCAAGGCTGATGCACACAAATTACACATAAACACTGTAACTGTGTGCTTCCCATGCTGCGACCAGGCCACGAGAAACTCGGCCCCCTGGGGACACGCAGATTAACACATGACAGAGCTCGTTAACCCTGGACAAAGAGAGATGCTAATCTGACACGGTCGGCCTCCACCATCCTTAAACAGTACAGAGACACATTGAGAGTGGCAGAAAAGGAAAACACGAGGGAACAAGGGAGGTATATGTAGCAGTAAGAGGCCTCGGCTTGTCCTAGAAACTAGACAATACTGTAGGGAGGCTGGGCTAGCGGTTCCACCGGCCCTCCAAACAATGAGCGTAGAGACAGAACCCCGACACGACTGTGAAGGCCCAACTAAAGCCTGGCTGACTGGCGTCGCCTGCAGCGGTGACCAGCAGAGCAGCGCTAAGCCCAACTCCCTGGATATCGATCGCTCAGGAGAAAGTAGCAGGCAGCTTCACAGATGGCCAGGACATGCAAAGAGACAGCCAGAGGAAGTGCATTAGTCAGACAGGTTCCTCTAATGCTGTTATCCCGCTCCCCTGGGACAGAAAGGAGACGGCAAGGACAAGATTTTAGAACCAGACATAAAGGGGAGGGTGGGTCTAGAGGAACAAGCAGGAGAACGTTCAGAAAAAACACAGCAGGACAAACACAGAAGAGCGAGAACCCCGCAAAGAAACGGCGGCTAATTTGTAACTTGAAGAGCTGCTGGATCATCTCCATAATGGGCCGTCTGCCCATGAACAAGCTCCTCTCTGGGGGTAAATGAGATCAGGAAAGCCCTGGACCAGCTGGTGGCTTGGATCAATGACACCAGACAGAGCAGATACAGAGATGGAGGAGGCGGGTAGAACCGGAGCATCTGGGTCGGACAGCGCTCCTTTCGGACTGTGCACGTCGGTACGGACACCCGCTTGCAAAGTACGAGTGGAACAACTGAGTCTGTAAGAGGATTAGTGCTCCTGTTTGAAGTGGAACACGGCCCGATCCAGGTGGAACCTGATCTCTAGCAGGACAGCAGATAGGTCAGATGGTTGACCCGATCAACCGTAACAACTACATCACAAACTACCATCTGGACCAGGTTCTGATCGCCTCACAGACAGCAGGAACCAAGCATGATGTGGTCCGGCTGTAAAGTCCAGTCAGGCTGGAGACCAGATCAGCTGCAGGTCAGATGTTGAGCTTCCTTAAACCTGGGATGGCCCCAAAGCTCACCCCCGCCAAGACTGCAGCAGACAAAAAGAGCAAGCATGACCAACACATTTAGGCATGAAGCCTAGTGTGGCAAGGTGGAGAAACGAGGGCCCGGGCGGGATTCAACCCCCAGACTCCCGGGTGAGTCACGCGCCCTAACCGGTCAGCCAAAGGGACGTCCCCTTGGCCAAGTGGCCAGGGCGCATGATCAGTTGGGACGCTGTGAAAGGACGCTCACACTGCCACACTAGCAACGGCGCTGTGAGCCGTGTCCACTATCCGTCCTCCCACCAGGGGAATTCAGATTGTCCAAACAGAGCTAATTACTGCAGCTGCCAGCAAACAGGCTCAAAACTGCCCCACCAGTTGCCGAGTGCACTCGCTGACAACTGTGACACCAGCGACCGCGGCTGCCACCGACACGGAGAGCGCGGACGACAGCAAAGACTATCTCTGCCTTATCTTTCCTGGGCAAATGCACTGTGGTGCACTGCAGCTTCCTTCAGGCTCCAATCAGCCAGACTACAGCAGGAAATGCAGCCAAGCATTAGGTTTCTGTTGGCGTTCAGATAATCTGAAAACAAGAAAACGATTGTTTTAGTGGATTATACGGAGGGCGGTGGTCATTTCTAATGATGTTTGAGAGTGTGAGGGCTGCAGGCTGAGAAAGGCCTGATGACCAGAGGCACAGCGCTGCCCTCGTCACCGCTCCGAAGTTCAGAGATGGAGGGGGATTTCATTGTGAGTCACACTCCCTCCAACACCAGTCCTCAGGCTAAGGGCAAGCTAGCACAAAGGTCTGTTAATGCAACACCCATCTCCCCTCTGAAGGCTGAAGCGTCGGCCAGCTCGGAGCAAAGCGGCTCATTAACATTTAAATATCCTTAAAAAGCCGGTCCATGGACTCCGACACCGTTTTACGGCGTGTTTGAAACCCACTCCCCCCCCTTTCCTCGTCTCACGTGGCACGTTAGGATGGAGATACTTACATGTTTAAATCTGTAGCGTCTTCGAAACAAGTGGCGCGTGAATCACTTGGCAAGTTACCTCTAAATTAATACATTCATCAGTGTCAAAGTTAAATGTCAGAATGACTCAAAACCAGCTAAACTTCAACAAAGCCGCACAACAACAGGGCTTTAGTTTTCATCTGTAAGGGGTGAAAACGATAAAAATGCATTCATGCATACATCTTTTAGTACTAGCATCTATCTTTATCAGGGCTTTCGTTTAGAAAAAACAGAAAGAGGCGACTCCACAACCAACAGACAACGTCCTGATAACAACATCAGCTCAGCCTGATAGAGCGGCTAGGTCAGGAGGCCATATTGACTCAGCTGGACTCCTAACCGTAACCCTAACCCATCCCATGAGCGCTTCCTGGGAGTTACAATCCATGTGGTGGCTCCTGAGGTGCAGACTACAGACACATGAACACGCCCACGGAGACAAGAGCGTGATTGCCTCTCGCCGGCGGGTGATAATTAACGCCCCACAGCAGAGTGAGGACTATGTCACTCGCTGAAAATGTTCTTCGTTCTGATTGCCCGAGGAAGCAAACATTCATCTCCTCAGAGAGACGACGCAAACCAGAACACCCCAGCAACACCCAGTCCAGGGCGAGGAGGAGGCTCCTCCAGTCGTCGTAGCCCAGTTCCTGCAGCCCCTCAGTGACAGGGATCAGCTTCGTTAATGAGCTGTGGGTTGTAATAAATCCTCTCTACTTCCTGAACACCTCACGGCAGCCATCTTTCAAACTTCCTCCTAATTACCTTCATTCAAACGGCGCGTGCCTCTAATGGCAGCTACATTTAATTTCACGCAGCTGCATTTTAGGCTGTTTGTCATCTCACTGCCTCATCGGTGAGTCAGCCATTAGCATGGGGGGGGAGGTAGCCCACGGCTTAGCCCACTTCTGACTTCGGAGTGTTGGACTGTCTCCAAACCCCGGTGGGGCCAGACCCTAAAAGCGCCTGAGGATGACATCATCGTCATGGTGGATCGCCATCCTTTATTGGCCAAGCCTGCCTCCACCGAGGTCACAACCCTTTAGATGAGTCGTGCTTCTCCTCAGGAACCCAGATTTTAGGTTTGTGAACAGTTCATTCCACATTTTGCACCAAGCGTCAGGAGCAGAACGCCGTCGCTCAATCAGGAAGGTCATTTGTCTGGATGTGCTCACAAGGAGGCAGCTCGGGATCCCCTCCAGCCATGAACCACAATAGCTGATCACTTTGGAGGATGCTGACATTAATCACCTCTGATTAAAGGAGGGCCAGCTGGGCCCTTAGAGACAATTCAGAGACTCCCTCCTGCATCTGAGGGCGGTGCTGGAAGTTTTGTTTCACCAGGTTCAAAATAAAAATCAAGACTGTGTCTAGCCCTCCTCCAGAGGCGGCAGAAATAAGTAATTCTCTGCTCTCATTACTTAAGCCCATCACAGAACAATGGGAGAGCGTGATGGAGGATGGAGGAGGGGAGGCAAGACGGGAAAAGAGAAAGTTAAAGGAGACAAGATGGCCCCACGAAG